CTCCTCCTCCTCCTCCTCCTCACCCTCTCCTCCCTCCTCTCCTCCTCCTCCTCCCCTCCTCTTCCCTCCTCCTCCTCCTCCTCCTCCCCCATTCCTTTCCTTGTACATAACTTCTCCCTGTCGCACCCAGAAGCCAGTTTTTAGGGCGGGCCGGGCGTTTCGCCTGAGACTTCATCACCAAATATGGCTCTGAAGGTTTAAACTGGCAACCGTTTCACAGACGAAGGACGGGTCGTTTTCAAAGTGTGGTTCTCGTCTTAGCGCCGCGCACAGTCGTTGAAAGATTGTTGCATGAGTTCCACGGATTGAAAGCGAATGGTTTTCAAAATGTGGCTCTCGCCTCAGCGCCGCACACATTCGTTTTACAAGTCAGCTAAAGTTTAACAGATTGATGGCGGTTCCTTTCCAAAATGTGGCTCTCGCGTTAGCACCGCGCACATTCGTTAACATGTGCAGGAGTTTCACGGATCCCCCTGATCAACATACCAGGAATAGTGTTTTGGAAGGACTCAGGATTATGCGGGTGCAACAATTACGTTGATTCGCGGTGCTTAAGTCCCAAGATTGGCGGCCTGGCACGATTCAGGATCGTCGAGACGCAACAGTCAGGTTGATCCGTGGCGTTGGAATCCCGAGAACAATGTTTTGGCATGCTTCGGGATCTTCAAACGGTTCTCTTCCAACGAGTCAGTTCCCTCAATGGTGAACCGTTGTAGGGGCCTATGAAGAGGGAGCTTGGAAGAAGGGCTTATTCCAACATCGTTGAAGACTCTTGGGTTTACACTGGTCAGCCTCCTCCTCATCCTCCTCCTACTCCTCCTCCTACTCCTACTCCTCCTCCTCCTCCTCCTCCTCCTCCTCCTCCACCTCCTCCTCCTCCTCCTCCTATTCCTCCTCCCCCTTCCCCTCCCCCTTCCACTCATCCCCCTCCTCCTCCGCCTCCTCCTCCTTCTCATCATCATCAGCTTCCTCCTCCTCCTCCTCCTCCTCCTCCTCCTCCTCCTCCTCCTCCTCCTCCTCCAGGCATGCCCCCCCTCCTCTCCCAGGGAGGGGGTCCTGGATGCAGACCGTGGCGGCCATGCCAGACAGCGCCCCGGTGGTGAAGGGCTTCATCGCCTTCCAGACCGCGTTGTCCGACATCGCTCCGCACAAGCGCCCCGCGGACGGGCGGCCACCCCGTGGAGGTCCAAGGCCTTCCCATGTATGAAAGGGGCCCTGAAACATACAAATAAATACACACAAATAACAGGATTACCCATATTTTCCATGTTTTCTGGGTTTCTGTCTTCCCCCCCACTTCCCATATTTCCCCATATGTCCTGGGGAATCGACGATTACTTGTGTCTGTGTGTTTTTCCATCCTGAATGTAGAAGTTCCGAGCCCCAGGCCCACCCGTGCGTCGTGCAAAATCACGACGAAGGACTTCTTTATGAAGGGGCCCCAGGACACACAAATAAATACACAAAAATAAAAGGATTCCCTATATTTTCCCATGTTTTGGGTTTTTTGTCTTCGCCCACCCACTTCCCATATTTTTGCACATTTTCCTGGGAATCGACGATTAATTCTGTCTGTGTGTTTCTTTCCCTCCTGACTTTGGCCGTTCTCGGCCTCAGGACGAAAAGCCGGTCGCCAGGGAAGGGGTCCAGACCTCTGGGAGCCACACGGCGAAACAGCACGGCGTCGGATGTTCGGGTGTTGCTAGAAGTACCCCTGGCCCAAGGTACCCACAGGATTCTCGGGGTGGCCCAGGAGGCCTCCAGGGCACCCTCCACGAGGCCCAGAGGACCCCAGGGGCTCCAAAATGGAGCGGAAAGCTGGGGGCACCTTGGGCCAGGGGCACTTCTGGCAACACCCGAGATGTGTGTGAGCCTGGCGTCGCAATAAAACCGTGACACGTGGTTTTCCCTCTGTTCGAGTCGCTAGATCCAGCCAGGAGGCGTCCGTGCACCACCACCGCGCCCTGCCGAGGGCCCTCTTGGGCTCTGGCCAACCCGGACAGGCGGCGACTCGAACATGAATGGCGCTGTAGGCTCTTGATGTTTTGCGGCAGCCGGGCCTGCAACGCGCACGCTTCCTGGTCCCGTGGCCATCAGAAAACGGCCCTGGGTGGGAAGCGGGTCCCCGGGCTGAGGCCAAGGGGTCCCAGAGCTGGGGAGCCAGAGCAGTCAGCATCGAATGTTGGGAAATCGGATCAGATCGGAACGCGCGTCGGATCGGGCGGCCTCAACTCGGAGCCGAGATCAGATCGGATCGGCCACACCCAGACGCACGCGCAGGCATCGGCCCGCATCGGAGCGCCAGAATTTGGGGATCGAATCGAATCGATCTGACTCGAATATCCAGACCTCCGACGTCGTGATTTTTTCACGACGTCGACCCCCAGAGGTCTGGACCCCTTCCGGGGGACTGGTGTTTCGTCCTGAGTCGTGTTTTGACGCTCCCGAGGCCTGGGAAGGGCTCCTGGAGGCCGAAAATAGCGAAACACCTCCAGGCCTG